GGAGCCAAGTCTTTAACATGATAAAATGTCCCTCAACTACTTTCCCCTTGAATTTGCCTTGTTTGATGTTGGTGTTACTAACCATTTTCTACTTGGTTCAGTCTTTTTTTTTTTTTTTGAGAGTGAGGGAGAGACTTTTTTTTTTTTTTTTTTTTCAGTTTTCGGCAGACACAACATCTTTGTCTGCATGTGGTGCTGAGGATCAAACCCGGGCCGCACGCACGCCAGGCTAGCGTGCTACCGCTTGAGCCACATCCCCAGCCCAGTTCAGTCCTTTTTGACATATTCAGAATGTGTTCTTTTATAAGCATAAATTGTGCATTTTTGTTTAATTTATTTTGGGTTCTGGGGACTGATATGGATGCTTAACCACTGAGCCACATCCCCAGCCCTTTGTATTCTTTATATTGAGCCAGGGTCTTGCTAAGTTACTAAGGGTCTTGAGAAGTTGCTGGGGCTGGCTTCAAACTTGTGATCCTCCTGTCTCAGCCTCCCGAGTCACTGGGTTTACAGGCCACTGCATCCGACTTGGTCTTTTTTTAATTTTAATTGGAGAATTTCATCCATTTAAGTTTAATATGATTATTGGTATATTTAGTTTAAATCTGTTTTCTTTTTATATTTTCTGTGTACCAATTTTTCTTCCACCCCTTTCTTCTCACCTCTAAGGGTAATCAAATTTTTATTATTCTGTTTTTCTTCCAAATACCTTGGTCGCATATTTATTTGTTATTAGCCTGGTGCTTGCCCTGGAGATTGTGTCCTGGTCCTTGACTTGTGTCTACCTTAAAGGAGAATGCCGATTTTTCCCAAGCAGTGCAGAATCTCCATGCCCTTGTTTGATCATTGCTGCTGCTGTAAGGTGTTAGGATTCCTTTAGCTTGACCCAATTTTGGCCTTTTCCAGGGCTCTTCATTCCTACCTATGTTTCTGTGCTTTGACCTGGTGTTGTTTTCCTTCCTCTGAATAAACCCCTTTTGTGTTTCTTTTAGTATGTCTGCTGACAAAAAAAAAAAAAAAAAAAAAAAAATTTCTTCAATTTTGAAAAACGTTTTCAGTGGGCATGGAAGTCCGGCTCTGCTCTTTTAGTGTTTTGTGCTGTTGTTCTGTTTTCCTTGGCCTTGCTTGATTCATGTTGAGGTCACCTGTGAGGCCTCTTGTACTGTGAAGGTCACTGTCTCTGATCACCACCTGCTTTGGAAGAAGTCCCTTTGTCTTTAGCTTCAGGGGCTAGATTCTGATGTACCTAGATATGTTTTTCTATTTACCCAGGTTGTTATTTGTAGAGCTTCTAGAATTTGTAACTTGATATCTTTTGGTCTGTTTGGGAAAAATCTTGGGTAGTGTCTTATTAAACATCATTTCTGTCCCATTCTCTCTCTCTCTTCCTTCTCTGGGACTTCAGTTACACAGATGTTAGACCTTCGTTTCTTTAGATGTTTGTAATTTCAGTGCTTATTTGTCAATAGTTCCTTCTTGTCGGAATCCCTTTTTTTGCTGAATTTCTCCATCTCATCTCAGCTGTATGAGAGCCCTCTGTATTCTGTGTTCAGATCTTCTGTGGCTGTGTATGGCTTGGTTTTTGTTCATTTGGTCTTGTCTATATCTGGGAAAGTGTGGAGACAGTGGGCATTTTTCCTCCCAAAGGGATTTAATCCTCCTTACCTGTGCCAGGGTGTACCTGCCCAAGGTGGCTGGTCCAGCCTGCTTGGGACTGTGGCAGCATCCAGCTGACACACTCTTTCTGAATGCATAGATGCACACACAGCTCTTTCCTCCTACAGAGCTGGCTCTGAGAGGCCCAGCCTTTATGCTGTTCAGGGAGTGCCGTGTAGGAAGCTGTGTGCACAGGGTAGGCTCACTGGAGTGGCTTCATCTTGAGTCTGGCTGATTTAGATATTCCTGAATTCTAAATTTTGCCTTGCCATGAGACTGGGTATGCTGGGTAGTGCAGCTGCCCTAAGGAGAAGGCAGAGTGGCGGTGCCTCTGGCTCTCCGCTGTTACCGTTGTTCTTGGCAGAGGAGGCTGCTTCTGCCAGGTTGTGAGCACAGCTAACCTGGGAGGCGGAGGGAGGCCGAGGCTGTGAAAGGCATTTGTGCTCCATGTAGCTTGCCCCTTACGGCCCTCAGGTTGCTGGGCCGCACAAATGCCTTTGGAATTCCAGGGCTTCAGGTATAGTGACCACCGAACCCGTGACTGGGCCCTGTAACTGCACCCTGAGATCCCTGCCCGCCCAGTGGTCAGTGGCCTCAGGGCCCTGCACCTGCTGGTGGCATGCAGCTGAGTGGGATCTGGTCTGGGCCCTTCCTGCACCGCTCCCAGCAGATGGCAGTGTTGGCACAGGCTGTGGGATGGGGCCAGGAGAGGCCTGTGCTGAGCATCTCTGAATCTGGTGGCCTGGCTACGTGGAAGGAGGTTCTCTGTTCAGAGCAGAGGCTTTGAGTAGGCACTTCACAGACTTCACATGTCATAGAAAGAGTGATGTGCAGGATTATACAGAGGAAGCCTCATGGTGGGTTGCCGTAGCCAGCTGTGGCTCTTGGATCTGGTGCACTGTAGGAGTCGGACAGTGGAGTCATGACGCACTGGCTCTTCTGTGGACAGACGAAGTGGGCCAGGAAGGGGCACCCACAAGACCCACATCAGTTGTCAGATACATGCTCTCTATTGCAGCTTAGGGCTGGCAGGAAGGTAGCCCTGGGTAGTGTGCAGGAGCAGAGCAGGCTATTCACGACACGGGAGTGGGTCCTTGTGAGACCCATATTCTGGGGAGACTGACCCTACCCCAGATTATGTTCAGGATCCGTTAGAACTTGGCCGTTGTGGGGCCCACCAGGTTCTGTTTCAGAAAAGTTGGAAAGGAGGTTCTGAGTCAAACCTTCTTCCCTTTCACATTCTTCTTCTTCTTCTTCTTTTGTTTTTTTGTTTTTTTTTTTGGTACTGGAGATTGAACCCAGGGGTTCAATCTGCTGAGCTATACCCACAGTCTTTTTTAATTTCTATTTTGAGACAGGGTCTTGCTAAGTTGCCCAGACTGGCCTTCTACTTGCGATCCTCCTGCCTCAGCCTCCTGGGTCGCTGGGATCACAAGTTTGTGCCATCATGCCTTTCATGCCTCTTTGACAGTCTTAAACATTACAGCCAGCTATATGCTTTTGCACAGAGCTGTGGAATGAGGGTAGCTCAGGGCAACCTGTTTCTGGAGCCTCTGCCAGCTGCACTGTTCACTTGGGTGGGCAGGAAGAATGGTTTCTGGTGTCCCAAGAGGCTATTTCTACTTCAGCTTCTGGTGAGGGCTGGGAATTATGCTGGACCAGGAGTGGGAGCCAGATGTGGAGGTGCACACTCGTAGTCCCAACTACTTGGGAGACAGAGGCAGGAGTCACAAGTTTGGGGTCAGCCTGGGTAACTTAGGTGGGCAGCCCTGTCTCAAAATAGAAATGAAAAGAGCTGGGAACGCAGCTTAGTGTAGAACACCTCTGGGTTTGATCCTCAGTCACGATGGTGGCAGGGTGGATCAGGAATAGGAGTTAACCTCTGAGTTTGGTTTCTTGATTCTTTTTTTTAGTTGTTGATAGACCTTTATTTTATCTATTTATTTATGTGTGGTGCTGAGACTTGAAGCCAGTGCCTCACACATGCCAGGCAAGTGTGCTGCTGCTGCCCAGCCCCTGCCCTGGTTCCTTGATTCTTTTTTTTTTTTAATATTTATTTTTTAATTGTAGTTGGACACAATACTTTTATTTTATTTATTTTTATGTGGTGCTGAGGATCGAACCCAGGGCCTCACACATACTAGGCAAGCGCTCCACTGCTCAGCCCCAGCCCCAGCCCCCCACCTTTTTTTTTTTAATTCCTGGTTGATTCCTAGTTTCAGTTGCCATTGCAAGAAAATGGAGGAAGGATAGTCTAAATACCTCCCTGGCAAGCAGGGACCATGATTGTATAGATAGTGGGTGTCAGGACTGTGTAGACAGTTGCCCCAGTGTTGGAATACCATAGCCCTGGGATTCCAAATGCAGGCAGTGGGCCTCAGGGCTGTGTCGATAGCAAGTGTTGGTGCTATGCAGGTAGTGGTGCTCAGAGCCCCTGTGCCCCCTGACATAGTGCCTGCACAGCCAGTGCAGGGCAGGTTGCTGAGTGCTGGGACCTTTGCTGTGGTGGAGCACCCTGGGTTCTGCTCTAGATTGTGCTGTTAGCTGGGCTGGGATTCAGAGCAGTAGGGACCTGCAGAAGTATGGGTGCTGGATTGTCCTCCTCCTTGGGCATTTGGTGGTCCCACTCCTCTATCCTGAGGTGTGTCATTGCCTTCAATACCCTCTCTAGTCCCCTGGGGCCTTGGAATGGTGGTGTCAGGTCCTCCCTTGCATATCTGAGTCCTCTTGACTTTTCTATGGACACCTGCTCTAGGCTAGACTCAGCACCCTAAGGTTTGTTTTTTTTCTTGTTGTAGTTTTAGATTTTTAGCTAACAGACAGCAGACACTGAATGGCATTATTGTTTTCTTATTTGTGCTGCAGGCAGAGCTAGGGCCTTGTACCTGTTAAACAGTTTACCACTGAAATACACACCCCCAGCCTGTACCCATCTCCTAGGAGTCTGTGTGTGCTGGCACCTGGCAGGCACTGAGCAAGTCCTTGAGGAATGGAGCATGATTGTGGTAGCTTGCACATTTCCATGCTGTTGTGGGCAGAAGACCTTCCATGGAGTGGACACTTGAGTGGGCAGGTGCACGGGAGCTGCTCTGTGAAGGCCCTGTCCTCCTGAGGATCATAATGAAGCCCCTGCCATTTCTGGTTCCCCTGACCTGGCACCACACCTCTTCTTGCAGTCCCTTGTCCTCCCTCAGCACCTGGGGATTGGAAGGTTCAGACAGGCCTGATGTGCCACCTCAGCCTCCTTGATCAGGTGTTGAGCTTAGGTGTGGCAGACTAGGCTCAGCCCCTGGAGATGCAGTTCTGATAGTTTTCATGAAGATGCTCCTTAACTCCGGCTGCAGACATGCTCCTTGATCTCAGCGACCTGCTCCAGGTAGACCACTTTCCCCACTGGAAGGGTTGATGGGCATAGCCTGCACCTCCACATGGAGGCAGTCTGTGCTGCCTGTTGCAGTGGGAAGCCTCCATCTGCAGGGTGGAGAGGCTCAGGTGCTGCAGGCTGGCTCTGCAGGGGTGGGAGAGGGTCACTGTGCTGTCCTGGTGCTGCTCAGGGCTCAGATGGCTCAGCACGAGAACCACTGGAGAGAACCATGTGAACTTTGTTCTTAGGAAATGGAGATTCCTTAAAAGCAAAGGAAAAAATTGGACTCTCATGTATGTGTCTTAAACTATGGGAAAATTCATGTGTGCTTTCTGAGCTCAGAGAAAACAATTTTTGTTTGATTGCTTGTTTCCAAACAAATGAACATTGTGGGAAGATCTTCCCAGGGATGCTCACAGTGTGAGCAGGCCCCATGACCCCACGTTGTGTCCCCACTGATGGCTTTCAGGGGCTAGCCAGGGACTGACTCAAGGCCCTTAGCCCATGACTTGGATTGTGGCAGAGCCCTCAGGCCTGTGGTGATCACTACTGATGACCGGGAAAGAGATGTCATAAAAAATGAAGCTGATGGCACTGTGAGGATGCCACATTAAAGAGAAGTCTTCTGGGGTGCCCCCAGGGTCCTGAGAGCCTGTAGGCCACTGGTGCATGGGCTTCAGTGCCCTCCTATAGTAATCAGCAGTTTACCTCCACCTGGGTCAGATGGAACTTCGTATTTTTGTCCTCCCAGATGTCTTCATAAATGGTATCTCTCAGCAGCTACTGCTGAAATACTGTGGTAAAACTGAACATGACCTGTTGGGATTGTGATGATCCAGTGACTCCACATTTCACATGCACTGCACTCAGATCCAGGCAAGGCCATGACCCTGGCTTTACCCTGGTGGCTTCCTAGGAGAGATGGGCACCAGGGCCAGACAGCTACAGAAGTGACTTGGGCACTGCTTGAATGCAGAGTGGGATACGCCTGTTGGCTCTGGCTTCACAGCCTGTGCGGTGGGAAAACAACCAGCTTGCTAAGACAGAAGGTGGGCAGTGAGGGCTGAGGTTCCCACGCAGGACAGGGAGTCACATAGCCAGGGTGGACACGATACTGTTTGACATTTTTTTTTAATATATTTATTTTTTAGTTGTAGTTGAACACAGTACCTTTATTTCACTTATTTATTTTTATGTGGTGCTGAGGATGGAACCCAGTGCCTCACGCATGCCAAGTGACCGCGCTACCACTTGAGCCATATCCCCAGCCCACTGATTGACCTTTAACAGCTCATGGGCAAAGCCAAGTGCAAGGCCTGGCACCTGCAGGAGGCTGGGCCATGTGGCAGCTTTTGGTGTGAGGAGCCAGCAAGAGGAGACTGGCAAGGTGGGCCCTTCACTGGAGGGGCCTATAGCTCATACCTTTGTTCCTCTGAGATCCCTCTGCCCCCAGGAGCTAGGGTAGGACTGGCATTTCAAGGGACAGGTATATTTGTACTTGTCTGGGTCATTGAGGACCTCACTCAGGATTCTGGCAAGGGCTGACTGCTTTGAAGAAAGGTTAGTAGGACTGAAGTCGAGAGACCACCTTGAGTTTACATGTCATTTTAGTTCTTGCTTATGCATCCTAAAGGTTAAACCTCTCCTTAGCATAAAACTCAAGATCAGTGACCCCCTGGCTGGGACTGTGTGAAGGGACCTGGTGTTCCTGGGCAGGAAACCGTCTGGGTCCTCCCATGGGCCCACGAGGAAGACCTCTTAATCCCTTCCTGTGGCAAAGGGTGCTCACCTGCCCAGATGCACAGCCTCTCAGAGGCCAAGCCAAGGCCCATGACAGTGGTCTGCATGCAGAATGCACTTCCAGCCTGGGGGATTAATGGGAGGGCTGGTTAGCTGTGTCCACCCTATGTTGCCTGTCCATAGAGAGGAGGAGCCATCAGTCACAAGCTCAGGAGAATGAACTGTTAAAAAACTATTAGGGGACAATTTCTAATAAACAGTACTCATAAACAGCAGGATCTCTGGAATCTGGGTGTGGTGATATGCACCTGTTTTCCCCAAGGACTGCTTGAGCCTTCAAGACTAACATGGGATCTCTGGGAAGAGCTGCGTGCATATATATACATGCGTAGCTTTTTGTTTGTTTTTGTGGCACTGGGGATTGAACTTCAGCCCTTTTTGTTTTGAGACAGGGTCTCACTGAGTTGCTAGGCTAGTCTTGAACTTGTAATCCTCCTGACTCAGCCTTCTGAGTAGCTAAGTAGCTGAGATTACAAGTGTTTGCCCAGACATGCATAGTTTTTAAATCTTTGACTTCCTGTTGAAGCCCCTTCAGAGACCTCTTTTCTGCATCATTCAGGTCTCATCCATTTGGGATTATGAGGTGGACAGGTAGAAATCAGCCTTCTAGTGGGACCTGGATGTCCTTGCAGAGGATGGAAGTGACTTGCACAGGAATCCTGGTGGGGTCTAGAACAAGGGCGGGAGTACTCTTGTGAAGGGTGTGCCTACACTGCTGCCAGTACACGTGGACACACTGTGCATGTGCACACATCACACGCCAGGTGTGCATGTACTCACATCAGGCATATGTACCCACACCGTCGTGCACTTACACATACCACATGTCCACACATACCACCTTTCAGCGAGAGACCCCAGGAACTCCTGGACCCTGGAAACACATGGTGGAGCTCTTTTAGAAGGTATTCTGCAAGCCACCAGCCCTTAGGGTAGAGGGCACTTCGGAGACAGCTGCATCCAGCCAGGACTGGGGGTGACCAGTGAATAGTCACCCACTGCCTGGACAGGGAAGCCAAGCCCTGGCCTTCCCAACTGGACAGGCTCCCAGAGCTGACATGTCCCAAGCACTCCCTCCAGTTCCTGCCTCTAATGTAGACACCCTGGTCTTGCCCTTGAAGTTTGTAAACACCTGGGGGGTTGGGGGGGAATCACCTTTGTGCAGGAAAAGAGGCCTTGTCCAGGGCTGGGCTTGAGCCAGATGAGGAATTGTTTTGGAAAGGCAAAAGGACCAGACTAATCACACTTGTGAAGCCTGGGAGTTCCAGGGACAAGCCTAAGAACAGGTGTCACAAGCTCAGGCTGACACCAAAGCCGTGGCATGGGCCTAGGGTGGGAACTGGGCCTTCCCTGCCCTGCATATTGTTCAAGATAACAAAGGCTTGTCCCACCCATCTTTTCCCACTCAGAAGCATCCTCCCAACAAGCTGCCTGTGCCTCTGGTCAACGTTGGGCTCCCCAGGGGAGCCTGGCTGCACCCAAGTGCTGAGCCATGTCCTGGGAGGTTCTAGATTCTGACAAGCAATGGTGCTCCCACCACCAGGCAGCCCCCAGGACAGTCCTCCTCCCTGTGACTCCTTCCCTGCATGTGTCAAGAAGAGAGCAGGGCAGCAGGCCTTGAGGTGGGAGCAGTGGAGGAACAGATAGGATCCTGCAAGGCATTTGAGGCCAAGGAAGTGTCGCACGTCCACGTGTTGCCAGCAGGTCTTGATTCTGAATGAGTGCACTGTGCACGGCTCCATCACACCAAAGGGCACCCTCCAGGTGGGGCATTCTAAGCAGATGCAGTCATTGGCAGGACAATGGAGTGGAGCCTAGGTAGTTAACACGGAAGAAGGGAGTCTCCATTACCTGGAGGTCAGGGGAGATGGCTGGCTCTGAGGCATGGGTGGTAGCGTGCTCCACTGGCCAGCTGGGGGCTCTGATCATGGATTCTTAAAAGAAACCAAACTTTTTCTTAAAACACTAATGTATTTCTGGCTGTGCTCTTGTTGCCACAGGTGAATGTGTACGTGCTGGGGAAGACATTTCTGCTCTTGGCGAGAGAGCTCTGCATCAACGCACCAGCCATAGGTATGCTGGGCCTGGGTGGGGTTCTGCAGGGCCTCTGGGATCTGGCATGCCAGGGTGCCCAGCAGGGTGGGAGGGATGCCACCTCAGAAGTGCAAGACTCCTAAAATCTCTCAGGAGCAGAGCCGGGCTATACTGCTGGTACAGAACCAGAAGGCACAGTGCCAAGTGTAGACCAAGCATACGTGGAGGAAAGGGCACGTGGCGCAGCATGCTGGGAGCCCGTCTTGTTTGAACAGGTTTGAGGAACACACCTGCCCACCAGACGCCTTTAAGAAGGCAGGGTGTTCTCACAGACGGTATGAGGGGTGGCTCTAGGAGGCAGGTGCTCTCTAAACTCTTCTCTCTACCAAGACTGGTTTCCTTGGCTTGCCCATCAGCACCTGGCATTGTCTTCTTATGGTGAAGAGGAACCACCTGGGCCAGAGTGGAGGGCTGGGCCCCTGGTGTTGGGTCAGTAGGACAGTCTAGTGCACACTGGGCTGAATCCATGCCCTAGAAGCCACAGCATTGCCCACAGGGCCACCCTTCCCTTTGGAGGTCAGGCAAGTACCATGGAGTGCTGGCATGGGACAAAGGCCAGTGCCTAGAGTCAGTTCCACCCTGGTACACCCCACAGCAGGGAGCAGTGGCCTAGCACCAAATCTGCCTCCTGCAAAGGGTTTGTCTGAGGTGCCACTGATACTGTGGGAAGTGGAAACAGCCAGACAGTTGTCCTATAGAGCTCTGGCCATAACCAGAGAGGGGAAGCCAGCCCATGAGCAATGCCCTGAGGGACAGATGAGTTCCCCTGGGTAACCACTCTGCCCTGCTCAACGCCACAGGCTTTCTCCCAACAATGCCAGCTGTGTGAGGGAAGGCCCAGGTCCCAACTGCTATAGTCACTGATCTACACTGGGCTCTTCGTTTTGTGAAACCTTTATTATGAAAATCCACTTAAATAGATGAACTACTTTAAGTGACTTTTCAGTAGTTTTGGATTTGAAGGGGAAGGTCTCAAGGTAAGCTTGGAACCTCATGGAATCAAAAAAGATGGGAGGCACATCCAAGCATCCAAAGCCTGAGCACCACTGTGTGGGATTTGGCCAGGTCCTACACTGAGTCCCCAGTCTGCCCTCTGCCTGCAGTGTGCACTCCAGTGTATAGGAGACACTCAAGACTTGGCCACCAGGCTCAGGCCGCACAGAGAAAGCTCTTACTTCCCACACTTGGGCTGAATAAGAAAGGGAAGCCTTTGATGTCAGGCCCTGGGCAGCATCCCACACCTCCCCTGCACTTACTGGGGGGGGGGCTCACCCTCTCTAGGCCCCTCACAATCTCAGGCATAGAAGATGAGCTCTGGGATCTGCCCACCCTGGACCCCTGTCCCATTGGTACTATCTGAAGAGCACTGGAACTGGAAAGCCACCTTCCCACACTGTACTTCCGTCATCCCTTCCTGCCCAAAGTAGCTAAGCTCGCTGCCGTCCAAGACAGCGCTGGCAGTGTAGAAGGTGTCCTGTTCAACCTGGACTGGGTGCTCAAACCAGACCGGGAAGGTGTTACTGGATCCATCCGACACAAACTTGGTCAGGTTCTGAGCCAGGACCATCCCCAGCCGCTTGAGTTCAATCTTTACAGTGTACTCAGCCTTCCCAGAGCTGGACCCGTATAAGCCCAGACCTGCTATAAACACCCTTCTATCCACGGCAAACTGGATGCTGTCACAGCGCCCACGGTACCGCCACTGGTTGCTGCGGTAGGCAGAAGACTGGAAGCGGTGGCACCTCTGTGGAGCAAGGCCTTTCCTCTTGGTCAGGGGAAAGTCAAGGAGGGGCTTGTTGGCAGCTGTGTACCACAGGAAGATGTTGTGGGTCTCCTCCAGGGTCAGGATGTCTGACTGGGCAGCACCATTGGCAAACTCCTCCAGAGTCATGGTTGGGATTCGGACCAGATAGAGGGCTCGCCCCAATACGTGCCTCTTGTTATGGGGGGTGGCTGGCAGGCCCTGCCTTCTGCACTCTGCTTCAGCCCAGTTCAGGACAGCTTCAAAGACCACTGCCTCTTTAGTGTTGAGGGCCTCACGGGTCACGATGATCTCCAGGGTTTGCCGGTCAATTTCACAGAAGCCTTCCGACCGAAGGGCCATCTCAGCCTGTGCATCAATGACCTCCCAGCAGCGCTGGGTCAGTTCAGGTTCCTCAAACAGCCGGCTCTGGGACAGCAGGACGCATGCATTTTTGGCTTCCAGGCTTGTCTCCAAAAAGGTGACACAGGCTTTTGCTAGCGCAGGCACAATGTACTTCTTAGCAGCATACAGAGTCGCCAGCACCGTGTCAGCCTCCAACTCGATCTCATCACTGTACATGTACCTGGGCAGGGCAGGGACCTGCGTCGGGGGAGGGGGCCTGCTCCAGCTGGCCTGGGTGAGGAGCCTATGGGCTCCTGTGTGTGTGCCCTCCCGGGGGAACTTCAGGAACCACCCCATCCTTCCAGCCCGTCAAGCAGAGCACTTACTTTAACAAGACCAGGAATGCCGCGGGCTCCACGTCAGGAATGTGGATTTCGGACTTGACCTCTGCAAGGTCCCCATAGAACATAGCATAGAAGACAGAGCTGCCGACTGCCAAGACGTACTGTGGTTGGAAAAGAATCTCGTGAGCCACAGGGCAGTAAGGCAGGCCTGGGAAGGATCTGTCCAGCTACAGGCCAGCCCAGGGACAGCTGTGCCTCTACCCACCTTATGAGCGGGCACCCGCCTGGCCGCCCCCAGCGGCCCCACGATGAAGTGTACATCTGCCATGAGCTCGTTGTTGAACATCAGCGCGTTCCTGCAAGCGCAGAGGCACAGGGCTTGCACGGGGAGCGCACAGAGCCGCGGGGGCGTGCGGGCCGGCGTGCGGGCCGGCGTGCGGGCGGCTCACCTCTCGCGCAGCGTCGGATGGAAGGACTGCCAGTTGGGGCTCTCAGGGTTGTTGTTGTCGGGGGCGGGCGGCGCGGGCGCCGGCGGTGGCGGGGCGGGCGCCGGGCGGGGCGGGGTGCGCGGGCTGGCTTTCCTGCCCGTGGCCGCGCCAGCAGCGTTGCTGTTGGCGATGTCGGTGGCGGTGGCGGCGGCGGCGGCGGCGGCGGCGGCAGCGGCCGCTCCGGCTGGCGGATACAGCTCCGCGGCCATCTTCGTGCGCAGAGCGTGGGGGGCGGCCTCCGCGCTCGGCGGTGTCGCGCCGCGCGTCCTCGCGCCGCGCCGGGGCCTGGGAGGCGGCTCTGCGAGCACCAGCAGGGAGGTCAGGCACTGCGCCACCCGCCCGTGCAGGCAGGCCAGCGGCAGCAGCATGGGGCCGCGCGGCGGCGGGCGCTGCTGCCCCCGCCGCGGCCCTCCCCGAGGCCTCGGCCCGCCCCGGCTCCCACGGCCCGCACGGGGCCCACCCGCCCGGTGCCCGCCCCTCCCGGAGCCCGCGGCCCGGCCGCAGGGGGCGCCGTCCCGCCCGCCCGTCCGCCCGTCCGCCCTCGCCCGTACCCGCCGCGGCGCCCGTGCGTCTCGGCGTGTCGCTGCGCGTCACAGCGAGCGCCCGAGGCCCCGCCCGCCCCGTCTCCGAGGACGCCAGGCTCCGCCCCTCTGCGACTTGGCCCCGCCCCGCCCCTGACGTCGTCGGGGCCCGCCCCGCCCTTCAGGATCCCTAGGCTCCTCTCGCAGACCCGCCCAACTCCCGCGGGAGGCGGTGAAGCTGTGTGGTGGGATGTCTGGCTGATCCCGCGGCGGTACCCTCCTGGGACCCGAACGCCCCGCTCCTTCCCGCCTTACGTCGGCACGCTTTCCTGTCACCCAGAAATGAGAATGCAGAAACTTGGGTGTTGCAGAAAAACCGACGCAGCTTATTCCGCTCCTCGCTGGAGGACGTTACTCTGAGCAGCTTGGCGACGCCCTGAGGTCCCCTCCCAAGCTGCGAGTTGCTGCCGGGGCGCCCCGCAGCCCTGTCCTTACACCCGTCTCGGTGAGGACTTGGCGTGGGACCTGGCCGCCTCTCTTGCTCCTTAGGGCTTCTAGGCATCCAGCTGGGACCATGCCTCAGTACCCCGTCTCCGGGAAGTTGTGGTGTTTTTTTTGTTTTTGTTTTATAGACATCAGTGGTGAGATGTTGTCTCAGAATCCTGTTTATTTAGGGGCTTTTAGGACTGGGGGGGGGGTTGCCAACTCATTGTGCCCCGATTAGTTTGTTGTGCCCCCTCCAGAATATGCGAAATGGTTCCTCGGCCTTGCTAATAATCCACTTTCTTTCTGACCTTTGGTAATTCATGGGAATTTATATCACATTGTCTTCATTTGCATTTCTTTGACTGTGAATACAGTTGAACATGGTTTTGTGTTTGTTGCCCTTTTGTATTTTGTTCTGAATTTTATTTTTGTGTTTTACCGTTTTTTTAAAACAGATAGTCAGTAGTCTTTTTCTACTTTGTTTGAACACGCTTGGTAATTTAGATCATTGCAGACTAGAAGCAACCACTCATTGATGGCCTTTCCACCCTGCCCTGAGTGCTTTACATAAGCCTGCCCCAAAGAAGAGGGAGAAGGCAGAATTGTCATTTTCCTTGAGAGAACAGGCATTAGAGGAGTTAGTAATGTGCTCAGGGTCACACAGCAGGTGGGGGTTGGTCCTAGGCACCCCGCCAGCCTGGGCTGCTGGGGAACTCCTCTGGCCTCTGGGACAGTCTGATATAATCCCACCTCTTGCCTGGGGATGATTCCAGCTGTCAGTGTTTTGAAGATGCCGGCAGGCCCAGTGTGAGGGTCTCCAGTACTCTCCATACAGCTTGTTGGTAGCTTTGAACTGAGCCTCAGTAGTTGGTGACACCTGGCACACCCAGGCCCAAGAATGGAGCATAAATTTCCATTTCTTTCCATGGTTATCTAAGTGTTCAACCTCCTCAATTTGGAGAATGTTGTTTTCAGAAGGTATCTCCCATATTCCTGACAACGGGACTCTCCAGAACGCAAGTCAGGATGAAAAAAAGACCAACAACCCCGTTTT